ACCCTAAACCCTAGAATGTTATACGGTTGCAGCATAGTGCACAGCTCTCCGCAATGGCGGCGGTTTGCTGTTCGTCGTTTTTCTTTTTCTTGGTTCTTTTGTTGGTCTTTGCGTCTTCTTTCTTTTATTCTTCCTCTTTGTCTTGCCTTATGCTCTAGAGGTCAGCTACATACAGCTAGCTAGCTAGCTAAATAAATAAATAAATAAATAAATAAATAAATAAATAAATAAATAAATAAATACCTAGCTAAATGGCTGGCTAGCTAGTTACATAGTCAGGTAGATAGATGCCTAGATAGCTTGCAGCTAGCCATCCATGGATCTCCCTAGGCAAGGATATCTAGCTAGCTAGCTACACACACAGCTACCCAGCTAGCTAGCTAGGTACATAGCTAGCTAGCTAGATACATAGCTAGCTAGCTAGCTAGTATTGAATTGGAGGAACAACAGCTAGCTACGTTGTTAGGGGGCGGACAGTCCCCCTGGCCCATCGCCAGACCCTTAAGCTGATGGCTAGCTAGCTAGCTAGCTAGCTAGCAAAAAAACCTCCCTCCCTCCCTAGCTAGCTGGCTAGCTAGCTAGCTAGACAGAGAGACCTAGTTATCTATGCAGCTAGCTAGCTAGCTAGCTAGCTAGCTAGCTGTTACACATGGCTTGGCAGTAACGGGTATTACAGCCAAGTGTTAGAAGAGGGGCAACCACAAATCTTCAACCCGGCCAAACCCTAAACCCTAAACCCTAAACCCTCGATATTGTGTTTTGTTCAGGGTGGTTATTTTCCCCTTGGTCTGTCTCCGATTGGGGTAGTCTGTCTATTGCTGATGTCTCCTTAGCTGCCTTTTCTTTAGGAGCAGCAGCTAGCTGCGTTGCGCAGCAGCAGCAGCAGCAGCAGCAGCAGCAATTGTGTGGGGTAGAATTTGTTGCACCTGCAAACACTCAAAGGGTTTTCCTTGATGCAGCAGGAGGTGTACAGACAGCAGATACAACAGACTGGGCAGTAACCTCCCTAGTAAACCCTAAACCCTAAACCCTAAATATAAACCCTAAACCCTGAGCTTCGCAGGACACCACTGCCCTTCAAACAAACCCTCAACCTTCCCGTTTCCCTCCTCATTAAGGGCCCATTCCTAAACCCTAAACCCTGAACCTCTTTCTTTTTTGTGGATGCAGGTTGCTGCTCCCTCTGCTGCAACAGCAGCATTTCAGGTGTACGTACACCTCAAACCCCAGACAGCAGCAGCAGCAACACTGCCGCCAATTACTGCTGCTCAAGGAATCCTTAGAGTTGTTGGCACTCTAGATGGCGTAAACCCTAAACACTAAACCCTAAACCCTACATGCTAAGACCTAGATAGCCTCCCGGACAGAACAACAGCTGCGCATGTTACTTTTTGAGGGTTTAGGGTTTAGCTTTCTAGGGTTTAGAGATTATAGGTTTGTTGTGGTTAAGAAACGGGGGTTTAAGCCAAACCCTAGGGTTTAGGGTTTAGTAATTGGGGTTCAATGCTCTAAGGGGAAAATTAGGGTTTGGCGGTGTATTTGCAGAGAGGGTTTGAGGCTAGGGTTTGGGGTTAAGTTTAGGGTTTTGAGCTGAGCTCCTAGGGTTTAGGGTTTAGGGTTTGGTGTGCAGGAAACAATAGAAGGGTTTTCTCTTTTTTCTCTTCCTGCCCCTTGGCCTTCGCGAGGGGCGCGAGTGTTTAGTCAACTCCTCCTTACTCAAGAAAACAACAACACGTAAACCCTAAACCCTAAACCCTAATTTTAGAGCCACCAGGACACTGTGTCAGTTTAAGATAAGGAGGGAGGAAGGGGATTAGGGTTTAGGGTTTAACAATAGTGCTTAGGGTTTAGGGTTTTGCTCAGTGTACAAGGAGAGGGAGCCAACTCGTCTGGTAAGGAGGCGTTGCTGCTAGCAGCAGGTAAGCAGCAAACCCTAAACCCTAAACCCTAAAAAGATACAAGTATCCTATATTCTATATCTGCTGCTGCTGCTGCTGTTGCTGCTGTTGTTGCTGCTGCTGCTGCAGGAGCATCTCCGGTGTACATACAGCCGCTGTCTGTTGAATGGACATCCGAGCCATTCGCAGCACCAGCAGCAGCAGCAGATGCAGCAGCAGCAGCAGATGCAGCAACAGCAGCAGCAGCCTATACAGAATCAGCAGGAGATACAGAAGAAACAGCAGATCCAGCAGCAGTAGCAGCAGCAGCAACATATGCATCCCCATCAGCAGGTACAACAGCAGCAGCAGCAGCAGCAGCAGCAGCAGCACCAACAGAAGGGTTTACGTTGCTGCTGAGTATATCTATACCCTCTGGACAGAAGCTGCGTATACACCCCAATGCCTCCAACTTATTTTTAGATATAATTATTGGGCTTCTTGTTCCTCTTGTCTTCTTCTGGTCAGCTCCTGCTGCTGCTGCTGCTGCTGCTGCTGCAGATGGTGCAAATGGCTCTACTGCTGCACTAGGAGTGGCGCTTGTAGGGTGCTGCTGTTGCTGCTGCTGCTTCTGCTGCTGTTGCTGCTGAACCTATTCCTGCGCTAAGTATCTCACTTCTGCTGTTTGCTGCTGCTGCTGCTGCTATTGCTGCTGTTGCTGCTGCAGGGTGTGCATGCACTGCATTGTGGGCATTTTAATTCGTTTTGGTTGGATAACCGCCTGCCCTTTGCCTTCGGATCCCCTAAACCCTAAACCCTAAACCCTAATATGGCTAACTGCCAGCCCCCCTAGCTTGGGATCCCCAACCAAACCCTAAACCCTAAACCCTAAACACTAAACAGTAATCAATAAACTCAAACAATCAAAACTTCGTTGGTTCATAGGCGGATCCATTGTCAAGCAAAAAACCCTAAACCCTAAACCCTAAACCCTCAGAGCGCAGCACCCCAGCTGCTTCTGCAGGGTCCTTGGGGTAAGGCGAGGGTTTAGGGTTTGTCTAAGCTATGCTAGGGTTTAGGGTGTATCGGGGTCATATACTACTACTACTACTACGGCTGCTGCTGCTGCTGCTGCAGCTACTGCCGGATGCAGCTACTGCTGCGGCTGCTACTGCTTGTGCTGCTGCACCTACTGCTGCTCCTGCTTCTGCTGCTGCTGCTGCTGCTGCTGCTCCTGCTGCAAGTAGGTGTCAGCCTTCTGCAGCATTTCCTTCATGGTATCAAACCCTAACATATCCCCTCCTTCCTCAACATCGACCCACCTGCAGCAGCAGGAGCAGCAACAGCAGCAGATGCAGCAGGAGGAGCAGCAAGAGTCCTATTCAGTGTCCTCTGGTTATAACGAACTAATAGCCAAGAAGAATTCCATAAAAAATAATCTTATTACCCAATTTTTAGGGTTTAGGATTTCTAGGGTTTAGGGTTTTCTAGGGTTTAGGGTTTTCTAGGGTTTAGGGTTTAGGGTTTAGGGTTTACTTGTAGTCGGTGTGTTCTCCGGATAGAATGACGGGGGTTTGAGGGTTTTTTAAGATCGCTAAATAATAGCGAGTATGTTTAGGTTTACCACGGGCCTCATACCTTAGATCCTGCACAAACCCTAAACCCTAAACCCTAAACCCTAAACCCTAGAACGGGAAGAAAAGAGAGGAATTAGAGGGGAGGGGGGGATACAATACCCTTTATGGTATAGTAAACACCAACAAATAGTAGCTAAACCCTAAACCCTCGGATGGTAAAGGAAGCAACCTATCGGATCTATACAATTTCATAAATAAGGGTTTAGGGTTTAGGGTTTAGGGTTTACCGTATGGAAGGATTCAACAACCTGAATATCTTCAGGGTTTATGCCTGTCTCTTCTCTTGTCTCTCTTACAGCAGCATCAATAAAGTCCTCATCCCCGTCAACATGACCTGTAAACCCTAAACCCTAAACCCTAAACCCTAGAAAAAAAAGAAAATTCCCTTGCATCCGCATGCATGCGACTGTAGTACTAGTAGTCTACTAATTAGGGTTTAGGGTTTAGGGTTTCTTTCTTACCTTTAGGGGGGGACCAATGGTAAGGAGGGTAAGATGCCTTCATCAGCAAGAACTGAGGTTTTGCTGCTTCTGCTGCTGCTGCTGCTTCTCCTGCTGCTGCTGCGCTGCTATAGCGTGCCAGCAGCAGACCGCCGGCTCTGACTGCTCCCTCCTCCCTGAACAACACCAAACCCTAAACCCTAAACCCTAAACCGTAAAAACCCTCATAGACAGCTCTCAGCTGCAACTCCTTACACACTAGCCTTCCGTGGTGTCTAAGTGTCTAGGGTTTAGGGTTTAGCGTGGATATACGTTATAGATGTTATCGAGTAAGTCCTCATGCATCTGTAGGGTTTAGGGTTTACATTCTAGGGTTTAGGTAAAAGGGATAGGTAATTGTTATGCGACGTGCTCGCTTACATGATTGGCTTTCCTGCTGCTGCTGCTGCTGTTGCAGTGTATCTAAGCTGAGGCAGCAGCAGCAACAGCAGCAGCGGCAGCATAGCCATTGTCGTGTACTTTACAGCTACCTTCATGCTATACAGTCAGATGCTTGTAGATGTGCTGCTGCTGCTGCTGCTGCTGCAGCTGCTGCAGCAGCAGCAGCAGCAGCAGTAGCTGCAGCAGCTGCTGCTTGCTGCGGTGCGGGGCTGCGGCTACTGGTGGAAGGTTCTGGCTGCTGCGCCCCACAGGGGGTTGCTTCGGCTGCCGCTGCTGCTGCTGCTGCAGCTCCAACAGCAGCAGCAGCAGCAGCAGCAAGTATTTAAGAATTGTTTTTGTGTTTATATTAGGGGATTCCAGCACAAGACACGTATTAAGGTGTAGATACACTGGAAGATGGTAGCAGCAGCAGCAGCAGCAGCGCGGGCAGCAGCTGCTCGTGCAGCTGGCAGCAGTAGCAGCAGCAGCAGCAGCAGCAGGATATTTAGAGGTATAGGGATTGGTGGAAATTCTGTCTTACCTTATCGTTATTCTTTACCACTGTTGCAGCAGCAGCAGCAGCAGCAGCAGAATATTTTTCCTCATGAGCCTCTCCAGCAGCAGCGACGTGGTCTAACCAGCAGCAGCAGCAGTATCAGCAGCAGCAGCAGCAGCAGCAGCAGCAGCAGCAGCTGTAAGGCAGCAATAGAGGCACTATCTAATGTACTACAAAAGGAAATAAATCACGAAAAGTCCCAATATGAACAAAATAAACAAATAAAAGAATTTATTAATAAAAAGGAATGGGTAATCCAAGAAAAAGATAATGATGTACTTGTTACTCTTACTAAAGAAGTTGATGGTACGAAACCCTAAACCCTAAACCCTAAACCCTAAACCCTAATTTATAAACCCTAATTTATAAACCCTAATTTATAAACCCTAAACCCTAATTTCTAGATCATAGACACAACACAGTACACTATAGGACTATCTAAGAAAAAGATAATGATGTACTTGTTACTCTTACTAAAAAAGTTGACAATACTAAACCCTAAACCCTAAACCCTAAACCCTAAACCCTAAACCCTAATTTATAAACCCTAAAGAGTAATTTCTAATTCATACACACAAGATAGTAGACAGTAGGATAATACAAGAAAAAGATAATCATGTGTTTGTTACTCTTACTAAACAAGTAGTTTGTATAAACCCTAAACCCTAAACCCTAATTTATAAACCCTAAACCCTAATTTATAAACCCTAAACCCTCGTCCAGAAGGATCTATCTAACCAAATGACGTTAAACTTGGTCAAAATTAAACCCTAAAATAAACCCTAAAAAAGTGTTTAAACAAATAAATAAAAGGATAATAAACCCTAGCAGTAAACCCTAAAAACCCTAAAAATATACAAATATATATATATATATATATATA